CATGGTGGGGCTGGCCATGAGCTTAGATCCTTCCCTACACAAGCAGGGGTCTCAGGGAGACCAGGCAGCATTAGGAGGTTTTGAAAGCCTGAGCCAATATTCTTCTCTCTCTGGGGCATTTTCACAGCCCTTCTCTGACTTCCCTGAGCTTGGTTCCTATAGGCGAGAACAGATTGAGTCATCCCAGGCTGCCATGCAGGACCAGGAACGATATGAAGATTCCCACCTAGGGGGCTACCGGCGGATCTACCCTGGGCCTGACTCAGAGAAATATGCACCCTTCTTCAAGCACAATGGCTCTCTCTTCCAGGAGACTGCTGCCTCCAAGGCCAGAGAGGAGTGTGCCAGGTACCTTGGCTGCATTTTCCTTTGTACAGGTGGGTTGGGCACAAATCCTGAAGTTAAACTGCTCCCCAGCAGGGCAAGAGGAAGCCACATACTTGAGGAAGGAGAAATAGAACAAAAAATTCTAACAGGTTCTCTCTGTGTTCAGGCACATACGTGCATGCCTTCTTCACTTGAATATATGATGTGTGTACGCACATACGTGCATGCCTTCTTCACTTGAATGTATGATGTGTGTGTACGCACATACATGCATGTAGAGGCCAGAGGACAACCTTGGATGTTGTCCCTAGCTGTTCATCTTGTTGATGCGTCTTTACATATGTAAAGATCACATTTACTTATTTTTGTATGTACGTATGGACATGTGTACATGTGCGTGTGTACGTATACCATGATGCACATGTGGAAGTGAAGTGAACTTTCAGGGGTCAGTTGTCTCCTTCGAGCATGTGGGTTCTAGCACCATAATTCAGGTGGTCAGGTTTGGTGGTTGCTGGTAAGCACCTTTGCCAACCAGCCGAGCCATCCTGCCAGTCCCACTTTGTTTTTATTCTTTATTATTATTATTATGCTGTTGTTGTTGTTTTTCTCATGTGACAGGGTTTCTCTGTGTAGCTCTGGAGCCTATTCTGGCACTCTCTCTGTAGACCAGGCAGGCCACAAACTTGCATAGATCCGCCTGCCTCTGCCTCCTGACTGCTGGAATTAAAGGTGTGCGCCACCACCACCGGACATAAGTTTTGTGTTTGTGAAACTGGGTCTCAATATATAGTTTTGATTGACCGGCAACTTGCTGTGTAGATGAGGCTGGCCCCAAATGCATAGAGTTTTGCCTGCCTGCGCTTCCCAAATGCTGGGACTAAAAGGGCGTACCACAGTGTCTGGCCCACTTTAGTTTTTGAGTCTCTCATTGGCCTGAAACTCACCAAGTAGGCTAGGCTAGCTGGCCAGCAAGAATCGCAGGGACCTGCCTACTTTTGCCTACACAGTAGGCAGTGCCGCAGTGCCGAGAAGTGTGTGCTACCACACCTAACTTTTTTTTTCCATGACAAGGTTTCTCTGTGTAGCCTTGGCTGTCCTGGAACTCACTCTGTCTCACTCTGTAGACCAGGCTGGCCTTGAACTCACAGAGGTCCACCGGTTCTGCCTGTAGTGCTCGGATAAAAGGCGTGCACCACTACCACCACTTCCAAGCCCTGACTGTTTTTTTGTTTTGTTTTGTTTTACACAGATTAGAAGGCCTGAATTCAGGTCAAGGACTTGACTGCCAGAGCTGTCCTCCCAGCTCACCAACAGATTCTTTTTTTTTTTTTTGTTTTTGTTTTTGTTTTTGTTTTTCGAGACAGGGTTTCTCTGTGGCTGTGGAGCCTGTCCTGGAACTAGCTCTGTAGACCAGGCTGGTCTCGAACTCACAGAGATCCGCCTGCCTCTGCCTCCCGAGTGCTGGGATTAAAGGCGTGCGCCACCATCACCTGGCTACCAACAGATTCTTAATGAGTCTTTCCTTTAGTGCGATTCCTGGACTTTCTCTCATCAGTTCCAACAACACAAACAACAAAACAAAGCAGGAAAGCCCATCCTGCTTTCCTTCTCGCACCCCCTTCTCCCCACACCTTCTTTCTCCAGTGTCTGAAACTGCTGTGTCTTGTCAGGCAGCAACTGGAAGAGATTCGTCAAAAGCAGGAACAGCAGGAGAATCCAGGCACCAAAAAGCGAAAGGAAAACAAGGACCAGAACCAGGGTGAATCAGCTGGGGAGAAAAGCCGATCAAGAACAGGAGCACGGAGCCTTATCACCAACTTGGCTTATAGGAACCGGAACCAGGAGAAAGAGGTGTCAGGGGCTGTGGCTCTTATCTTTTCACTCAATTGGGACCACTAGAGAAGGGACTCTCCGCTGTCCTCTCCTCTCCTTGCTTGAGAGAGATGAGTCTCTAACTAGTAAATTGAATCTGACCCTTTGGAACAGAAGGTGAGAGGATGGACAGCTAAGGGAACCTTACAGTAGGGTCTGGGGAGGGAAAGAAGTAGAGCAGGGCAGGGGTCCTGCAGCAATCCTTGCTGACAGTGTGAGCCTCATCTTGGACATCCTGTATCTCTCCTGTGCCTCGTAGCTGATCCCAGTACACATGGACTCCATGCAGCCTCAGGACATTGTGGAAGAGGAAGAGCTTGAGCGGATGAAGCTCCTGTTACAAAGAGAGAATCTTATCCGAAGCCTGGGTATTGTAGAGCAGCTCACCCGCATGCTGTACCCCAGCCACCGGGGCCACAGAAAGCTTCATGAATATCGGGTGAGGGTCCCTGCGAAGCCTCTCACAAAGCCAGGGAACAAGGGCTGTGACACCAACACGTGGTGGTGGTTACACCAAAGGAGGTTTATGTGATGGTAACTATCACTGGAGCCTGGGAGAGGGTCTGTTGGTCCCATAATGGCTGTTGCCAGGCCCCCTTGGGTTTGGTATTGCCACCCAGCAAAGTGCAGCTCCCAACTTTCTCAACGGCAAAAGATGTGCTCTATCCCTATTTCATAGTAACCCGCAACTTCTGACTGACAAATAAGAAGACCACCACATGCCCAGTGGCTTCTGTGTAATCACCCTAGCACTGCCAATGCCCTGGCTCTATGGGAGCTAAGTAAACAGTCTTGGGCCAACAAAACAGCTGCCGTTTTCACTATTCCCTGGGCTAGTAACAAACCTGCTGGGCCCTCTGTTTTTGTTGAACCCCAAAAGAATAACTAGTTAAACAGTGGCTGTGGCCTAGAAGAGATTGTTCTATGTTTTAGTTACGTATTTCTTCCAACATTCTACCCAGCCTCGCAAGAAATATGGTAAGGGGCTGCTCTTCTCCTCTAGCCTAGATTTCACCAGGATGGGCTGGGCAGTCAGGAACTGCAACCTGTGAATTTGGTCCCATTGGTGTTCCTGAGAGAGGCTGCCACAGAACAGGTCCCTCCTCATTTCCTGCAACCACTTCGGCCCCATGAATTGATCCCCAGGATCTTAGGGCCACTGTCAAGCATGACTCCCGCAATTGCACAGCATTCTCGGTACCATCTGCAGCCCAAGAGCGTCAACTGGATAAGAGATCCAGCAACCATTGGCGCCTGTTCATTGTCAATGAAGAAATCTGGGAGGCAGTATTTTTCCAGCTCTAGAGTCAGGCTCACTAGCCGTAAGTATACAAAACTAGCTTTGGTCACTTTGACTGGTGTGAATTCCCAGTAGCGAATATTACAGCTGGGATGCTCCCAAGACAAAAAGTGGCACGCCTGGTAGCGTAGCAATGGGGGAAGGCGGTGGACCCGCTTATCTATTTGCTGCTATCTAGTGACCCTGGTGATAGACAGGGCAGAAACAGCCCCAGTCAGTCCTCAACAGAGGTTGACAGGCAAATGGACACGTAAACAGACTAATAAAAATACAGTGTGGTAAAGATGCTGGAGGGAAGCGTGGGATGCCATTCTTCTGTGTAATTGGACCACAGTTGGGAAAGAGGTGAGAACATCTCTTCCATGAGTACCCCAGCTTAGTGGGGAATCCATGTTTCTACCACAGAAGGCCAAGCCAGCAGAAGGCTAGAAGCTATAAACCGAGCCCTGTCAGGATCAGTGCCACCCACTTTAACCCCAAAGCAGGGCTGTCTTCTCCAGCCCGACAGACAGCAAAGTGACTCATGGACCGAATGCTGCACCTTGCCCTCCATGGTAAACTCTGAACACAGAGGAGCCAAGGCTGGGGATATCACCCTTTGCCCTGCCTCTGCGCCAGTGCTGCAGCATTCCAGCCCACTCCTCAACATCATCCAACACAGGTAAAAGAAGGGACGCCCAGCACGCAACCAACAGAGCAAATGGCCTGCAATCTTTGCTCATTGAAAGACTGCCACCAAGTTCCAGTTTGAAAAGCTCTGGCCAGGACCTTTGTTGGCAAAAGGCATAGCCCAAAGACACCAAGGATTCTTCAATATTCTAAGATTCTTTGGGGGAATCGCTTAAAAAAAAAAAAAAGATGAAGAGCTAAGGCCAGCATGAATGCATCTCTGCTCGTCAAGCCTTAGGCTGGGTTTCTCGCTAAGTGGTGGGTCTGAACCCTGGGGCTGGAGGTCACTGGGCAACAAGGAGTTCCTTTCCCAGTGGAGTCAAATGCCCAAGGTACTGTTTAGTCACCATCAGAGGATTGCTGAGGGTCCGCCCATCCTGCCACAGTGGCAGAATCAGGCAGGCCTGGGCAGCCTGTGCCAGAGGGGCGGCTCTGGGCAATGAACTCGTCTTTTTATTAAAGTTTATGTCGTTTTCCAGGCGCGTCCTGTACCTCCTTTCGATCCTCGCGTCTGAGGCAAGCTCTTCTCACAGTTACAGTAGGGAAGCCCAGCGTGGTGGCTCGGCCCTGTAATCCCAGTTACTTGGGAAGCTGAGGCAAGAAGATGATGAACTCAGGCTAGGATAGTTCAGTCTCAAAATGTTTGGTTTTCTTTTAAATGGCGAGGGAGACCATTTGCCTAGCATGTACGAGGACCTGGCTTGGCTCCCCAACACCGCAAAAACAAAATAAGAAGAAAAGGGTGGGCAACTGGGCAGTACAAGGGCAACCTCCGCCTTTTGGTAAACTGAAGGCTTACGGTCCCGCTCTACTACCGGTTCTCCATTCTGCTTCCGATCCCGCCCGCTCGCTTCCGGTCGCGAGCTGCGGAGGACTGTCTTGGGTCGCGATGGCGCTTACCCTGAGCCTCTGGTTCGGCGGTCGTGTCCGGGCTGCTGTCGCTCGTTGTGGGTTCGCGACCCAGGGCGTGGCGGGACCGGGCCCGCTCAGCCGCGAGCCGGACCCCGATTCCGACTGGGAGCCGGAGGAGCGGGCGCTCCAGGAGGTGGAGAGGTACCGGCTCCTTGGAGGGCCCTCAGCCTGAAGCTAGGCCTCCCGCCCCCCAGTTCCGGGCGTCCAGCGACCGCGTCCGCAGAGGCTCTAGTTTCTTCTCACCCGTTGTTGAGGGTGCAGGGGCAATTGGTCAGCTCCCCTGGGACCCCTGGGATCATCGCTAGCGATGTGTTTCATCTCCCGCTCAAAGAGTTGGGCATGCTTATAACAAGGTGTTATCTTTCTGGGGCGGTGTACAGAGAGTTGCTTTAACCTGGCAGACATGGCCGGGCTGCCTTTGTGGGCAAACAAGGGGGCTGGGCTCTCCGTGCTGTAGTCCGAGGCTCTTTAAACACCCATCTTGCTTCCACGCATGGCTTCTGCCGTTGGTTCTTTCCCCCAGCACTCTGAAACGACAGAAAAATGCAATACGGTTCCAGAAAATTCGAAGGCAAATGGAGGCTCCCGGTGCGCCACCCAGAACACTGACGTGGGAAGCCATAGAGCAGATCCGGTAAGATTCTGTTTTCAAAATGAGATTTTCTTCTTGAGGATTTTAATTTTGTTGCCTTTTCAGCAGAAGATGCCCGTCTAGATTGTTTTGGTTTTTGTGATGCTGGGGTCAACATAGGACCTCACCTATGGTCCGCCAAAAGCTCTACCTCCGAACTACATCTCCAGCGCGGGTTTAGTGCGCTGCCATTATGGACGGTTGGTTGGTGGTTTTGGGTTTTGTTTTGTAACAAAGTTAGTATTTGTAGAGGCCCAAGCGCCTAACATCCGAATAGAAAGCTATGTCCCACTGAGATCTTGCAGAGGAAGTTTCCGCGTTTATGTGCGTTGTCTTTGGAAGAGAACTGTGATTTACAAGTATTGGAAGGAAACTTTCTTCTTGACAGTCTCATGCAGCCCAGGCTGGCCTCTAGCACACTGAACTCCTTATCCTTCTGAGTGCTGTGTGTGGGAGGGAGAGTGCAGGTATGTGCCAACTTGCTTGCAATTTTTTCTTTTTCTTTTTATTGGGGAGGGGACAGGGCTACTCTGTAGACTGGGGTAGCCTGGAATCTGGAATTCTTGGCAGTCCACCTGCCTCTGTCAAGTGCTAGGATTATAGGATTACATTGTGTGTGAGCCACCACTATTGCTTGAAGGGGGTCTTAAAAGAATTTTTCTTTTTTTTTTTTTCTAACTATTAAGGTCTCTTAGGAGCTGGGGTGATAGCTCAGTTGGTAGCTTGCTATTGTAATTGTAATTCCAGCAGTGGAGAAATGGGAAGCAGAAACGAGACAAGGCACATCCCTGGAGCTGCAAGGCCAGTTGGTCACCTCCACAGTAAAGGTGCGGGCCAGTGAGACCCTGTCTCAAAAGCATAGATGGCATCAGAGGACCAACATTAGAGATTGCCCTCTGACCTCCATGCACCAAGACACATACATGCACCCTCTACAGATGAACACACACACAATTTTTTTTAGATCCTGTTTTAGCTAGATTTGGCCAGCATATAACTGTAATCCCACTACAGAGGAGGTGTGGGACAGAGGCAGGTGAATCTCCCTGAAAGCCCCAGTGACCTACATTCTGAGTTTGAGGGCAGCCAGGACTGCATAGTGAGATTCGTCTCAAACATTTGAGAAAGTCTCATTTATCCCAGGCTGGTCTGGAATGTGCTCCTTGGCTGAGATGACTTCCTTCCTGACTCTCTTAAGTGCTGGGATGACATATGTGTACCACATCTGTTTATATGATTGGATCTGGGGCCTCATACATGCTTAACCAAACCGCTACGAACTGAATTACATCTTTTTTTTTTTTTATTTATTATGTATACAATATTCTGTCCGTGTGTATGCCTGCAGGCCAGAAGAGGGCACCAGACCTCATTACCAGATGGTTGTGAGCCACCATGTGGTTGCTGGGAATTGAACTCAGGACCTTTGGAAGAGCAGGCAATGCTCTTATCCACTGAGCCATCTCTCCAGCCCCCTGAATTACATCTTAAAATCCTTCTTTTTTGCTTTTTCTAAGGTTTTTGTTTTTTCATCTGCTTGGTTTTGCTTTGCTTTTTGAGACAGTCTTCACTGTGTAGTTCAGTCTGGCTTGAAACTCTTGATCTTTGCCCTCTCTTCAATCCTGGGATTACAGATGGGTGCTGTTAGCCCTCCCTCTGCTCCACCGGTAACACGGTGCATATTAAGAATTATTTGCTCTATTTGTGTTTTGTTGTTTTGCTTTTCCCCTAGGACAGGGTTTCTCTGTGTAGCCCTTGCTGTCCTGGGAACTCAATTTATAGACTAGGCTGGCCTTGAACTCACAGAGATCCGCCTGCCTCTTCCTCCTGGGTGCTGTGATTAAAGGCGTGTGCCACCACCATCCAGCAAGTTTTCATCTCTCTTTTTTTTTTTTTTTTTTTTTTTTTTTTTTTTGGTTTTTCGAGACAGGGTTTCTCTGTGGTTTTGGAGCCTGTCCTGGAACTAGCTCTGTAGACCAGGCTGGTCTCGAACTCACAGAGATCCGCCTGCCTCTGCCTCCCGAGTGCTGGGATTAAAGGCGTGCGCCACCACCGCCCGGCAAGTTTTCATCTCTTAAATCACAAACTGCATACTATAAATTCTGTTCCAATCTTTTCTTTTTACACTCACTGTGTACTTTTGCTTTGTCCACTTTAGTAGTGAAGTGGAGCTCAGAGCATTTATCTAGTAGGCATGAGGCCCTGGGGTCAGTCCCAAGAACACCACCTTCCCTTCCTGACCTGGGAAAAAAAGTATTACTTAAGTCTTTAGAGGTGCACAGTGAGCCACAGTTTATCTTACCTGTCTTCTGTTAAAGGTGTTTAAATTCTTAACCTTACAAAGCATTCTCCAAGCTGGGGAGGAGGTGAGGAGTGGGGTGGTTGCACTCTCCATGAGTTCAAGGACAGCCTGGGCTAAACAGAAACCCTATCTCCAAACCAAAATAAATAAAGAAATATTAAAGATAAAAAGAGCTCTCCAGTAAACAGCTTTGTATATGTAGTATGCAGCATATCTACTAGAAATAAGATATTTGTATTATAATAAATAGTAATAAGTAGCCCTGTGTTGACTATATACCCTTTTCCATTTGTATGAGAAAGACTCTAATTAACAAAGAGAACACTAGAGAGCTGGGTAAAGACTTTGTACCGTCTCCTGGATACCCAGGAAACTGTACTATTCCTCATCCCCAAGGTTCTGAGAATCCTCTTCAGAGCCTCAAACACACTGCCACCGAGGAATAGTCCTCTACATGTTATTGTCTCAGGCTTTTTTTCCTTTGGAGATAAGGTCTTATGTAGCCCTGGCTGACCTCAAGTTCATAGAGATCGGCTTGCCTCTACCTCTGGAGTGTTGGGATTTAAAGATATGTGCCACCATTCCTGACTTTTCTGCCACTTGGGAAATAGCTTTTAACCAACCTTCCAGCTTCCTCCCTATCAGGTCCTTGCCTGTAGTCAATAAATGTCCTTTAGCTTCAACCCGCCATCTTGTTCTTTACTGCCCATTATCTTGCAAATGACAGCTGTCAGCCAAACTATTTCCTGATGCAGTTTTTTTTTTTTTTTTTTTGGTTTTTCAGTTAATGGTTCCCGTGTTTCTTGCTCTACAAGCAGTATCTTTGCTTTCTCCTTTGTATTTTTCCGGCTTACTCCTGACCTTTTAGATCATCTCTATGTTGGACTTCGCTGTTTGCACACAGTATAGAATTAATTGGCACAGTCTAAGGGCTGCCTTCAGTCTTCCCCAAACTCTTTTACTTATTTGTCACTAGCATTATCACTTCTAACTCTTCTCATAGGAGACTTACTCGCAATCTGAAAAACTGCTGTTTTTCCATAGGTATTTACATAAGGAATTTGCAGAGTCCTGGTCGGTTCCCAGGTTGGCAGAAGGCTTTGATGTCAGCACCGATGTTATCAGAAGGGTTTTAAAAAGTAAGTTTGTTCCCACTTTGGAGCAGAAACTGAAGCAGGATCAGAAGGTCTTGATAAAAGCTGGTTTCGCCTCGGCTTCTGGAGATGCAGTGAAGTCACTCAGTGCAGGGCATTCTGTTTCTGGCCTGCTGCCGCCAGGGGATGAAGTTTTGTCTAAACGTCAGACTCACAGCACAGCAGGTGCACAGAAGAGCCAGAAAGAAAGGACTAAAAGAGAAAGCTTGCTGCCTGCCACTGCAGCCACGGGCCATCAGAGAAAGCGTGAGAAGCACACCACCAGCGATTCGGAAGCCACCAGAAGAGCTGATGGTGACAGAGTGCCAGGTGTAGAGAAGCCAGGGGAGCTGAAGGCTGGGGAGCCACGTGATCAGAATTTCACCAGCAAAGTCGTACAGCGGGGACGTGAGTTCTTTGACAGCAATGGGAACTTTCTCTACAGAATTTGAGCCTGGGCCTGACTTTCAGAGATGCCTTCACACAGCTGAGCAAGTAGATTTGCAGTTGCCAGCATTCCTGCCGATTTGGAAGAAAAATTAAGGCTAGGATGTGGGTGGAGGAGCTACTTGACTAGAGTCAGACTTCTGGAGTAAGCCCCATTGGACCCTGCGGATCTAAATACTCATTCATCCTTACTGCTTGGTCTCTCTGTTGAGAACAAGAATTACATGTCATGAATGTCTGTTACTGTGTTGGGAGGAAATGGAAAGCCTGCCTCCTGACCTCATTTCTTTCTTGATCACTAACTGTTCTCGCACAGTTTAATCAGTTGGTTTCCTTATGTGCAAAATAAAGTAAAGCATTAGAATTATAACTAGCTCCATCTGTCTACGACAAACAGATCTTAAGTCTCTCATCGCTTACTCCTCAGTGAGCCATATAGCTCTAGTTATTGCCGCTATCATAATCCAAACTCCATGGAGTTTTATAGGAGCCACGACACTAATAATCGCTCACGGCCTAACCTCCTCCCTATTATTCTGCCTAGCTAATACAAACTATGAACGCATCCATAGCCGAACAATAATTATAGCCCGAGGTCTACAAATACTATTTCCCCTAATAGCTACATGATGAATTCTAGCAAGCCTAGCTAACCTTGCTCTACCACCAACAATTAATCTAATAGGAGAACTAATAATCACAACCTCTATATTTTCCTGATCTAATCCATCCATTATTCTCCTAGGAATAAATATTCTTATCACTTCCATCTACTCAATTTACATAATTGTTACTACACAACGAGGCAAACTAACTAATCATATAAACAACCTACAACCTTCATATACACGAAAATCCACACTCATAGCCTTACATATTCTACCACTCATCCTACTTACTATTAACCCTAAACTAATTATAGGCCCCACACTATGTTAATATAGTTTAAAAAAACATCAGACTGTGTAACGGCGTAAATGAATGCAGACAGAGTGTAAAAATATATATATAGCTTTAATGTAGAAATAGACTTACAGAACCACCGTTCCCGCGGCGACCAGGAAAGCAGAAGCGAGAAGCTCGGAGCTTGCTCGCCAAATTTATAGGCAGACATTAGCCCGAGGCGAACACGCCCCTTAAGGGGCGGGACTTATCCCTACATCTCCCCTTTTTGTCTAAATAAGACAGAACTAAACCAAATACAACTACATACAATAACAACAAATAATAAATACAACAAACAATATTGAGAACAAAAGCTTTGCTAAACATTCTATCTCAAGAAGTCCAAATAATGTAAAGAGTAACTACAATTATATAATCTTCAACTCAGTCAAAAATCTGAGAAGGGAATAAACACTACTCAACAAACGAGATATATCCAAAATGTGCAACAATTGACAGAGACAACTGACTACCTGGGCAATCACCCAAAGTCTCGTTTGCAACGTTGAGTCAACCAATTTTGGCTAAGGCCTAACATAACTGACATACCATTATTAAAGGCAAGGAACTTTTCAAAACTATCTTACCCTGTCTTGGCAGGATATGACAGTCCTGTTTTATCCATTGATGCACACTCTGCATCTGTGTCAGTGGTTGAGGTATGGGCATTTCTTTGCCCAAAGGCCAGTTCTGCCAAATAGAAAGGCTCCAGATGGAGTGTTTTTGGTGCTCAACATTCTCTCGGGAATAGAGTGGTGTTGCCAGGAGCAATTGTGTCTCACTATCACGAAACTCTGAGTTAGATTAAAGGCCATTTTCTACAGCTCTTTGAAGAGGTTGAAGATTATCTATCTATACTGAGTATAATCTCTATATATCTAAAGAACCTGATTAGTCTAATTATAAATGACAAACTTAGATGACAATTAGTCTATATAATTCTCAATATCTATCTAACTTAAAGACTAAGACAATAAACGACTGTGAAACAAATGAGGACAATGACCTCCAAATATAAACAATGTACAAATATACATTGCAGTAGGTAAATATATATCAATACACAAATATTATATAAGTATCTTAATCAGAGGTAGAAATGTACACTGCAATATGGTAAATATATACAATATATATATATATCAATACAATATATGTCAATACATAAAAATGTTTTAAACAGAGGTAGAAACATGCATGCGTACAATAGTCAATATAATTTAACTTTGTATCAATATACAAGAATCTATACCAATATATTTGTCTATTATCCCATCATCCCTCTTTTTTTTTTTTTTTCAAAAATGATCCCTGAGTTTATAAAATTCCTCCCCCAACCCTCAATCATATACTAATTATAATCAACCCCTAAATGATGTCCCTAAACCCAAGGGCAAACTTTACTGGGAGAGGGGACGTCGTTCTCTAGAATTACTTCCAGCTGTCATAGGGGCGACGTTCTTTCTGGGGGATCCTGTGAAAGTAAAATGATGGTTAAATTTCAAGATAATGTCTTTTAAAATTGCAAATAGTCTCTGAGTATTTTCGTGCAGGTCTGGCCAAAATGTTGTATAAGATGTGCACCATTTCAGCTAACCAAGTTGGAACTGTCTTGTGCAGCTGGTACCCAAAGCAGGTCTTGTAGTAGCGCTATCAGTATCATGACGTCATATCAACCAGGTGGAGTTGTTGTTATGGGGCCCCATCTTCTTCCTGGAAACTTCAAATGTCACTTCAGGAAAAACTCATTGTTCATTATGAAAAACTTAAACATTAATCATATAGACATATATAGACATATATATATATATTCAATGAAAGACATGATAGATATATTCAATGAAAAGTATGATAGATATGAAGAAAAGCAAAGATGTTTTCTAAACTCACATTTCTTTCTGTCCCATATCATGGCTCTTGACATGAGACAGAAACTCCAGAAACTCTGGGTTTTTCTCTTACTAACAGGCTTGGAATTGGAGAGGGACTGAGCCAGAGTCCAACTTCAAAACCAGCTTTATAAATTTAGAAATATGGTTTAATATTACTTACACAACCCATTCAGTTGTCTTGATATTTCCTATTGGGCAGGTATTTTTCCATCTGTCAGTATCCAAACATCCAGGGTCCCTTGAATTTCTCAAAGATGAGTGTTTTCCTGTGGAGATAAGAACAGAACCCTGCCCCCATTCTATATGTTTTTCTTACCACCTGTATGAATATCATCATTGTGGATGAGTTGTCATTTCTCCTTTCCAAGAGGTTTCTCCTCTTCAAATCGAAACTTTATTAATTTTGATGGTATCCACAATTTTTCTTCTCCTGTGGAAACAAGAGCAAAACCCCTTCCCCAACGTAGCACATCTCCTGGCTTCCACTGAGAGGTCAGGACATCTTTGAAATAAATCGGTTGATTTAGTTCAGCAGACTTTTCCATTATCCAATGTCTTTCTGCTGCTGTCGTTCCTTTCTCATTAGCGTTAAGAAAATTCAAGGTTAATAAAGCATTATGTAATCTATTTCTGGGGGTATTTTCGGTCCCTTTCTGTTTGTTCAGCATATCCTTTATAGTACGATTTGATCTTTCTATAACTGCCTGACCTGTAGGATTATTTGGTATACCTGTAATGTGTTTTATATTATAATAATCAAAAAAGCGTTTCATTTTCTTAGATACATATGCTGGACCATTATCTGTCTTTATTTGCGCAGGTATACCCATGATGGCCATAACTTCCAATAAATGTGTGATTACTGAATCAGCCTTTTCTGAGCTCAGGGCAGTAGCCCATTGAAAACCTGAATATGTGTCTATGGTGTGGTGTACATATTTTAATTTGCCAAATTCTGCAAAGTGGAACACATCCATCTGCCAGATTTCATTCCTTTGGGTGCCCTTTGGATTAGCCCCAGCAGGCAGTGGCGTTTGGTTATAGAAAGAGCAAGTAGGGCATTTCTTTACAATCTCCTTAGCTTGTTGCCATGTAATTGAAAACTCTTTCTTCAAACCTTTGCTATTAACATGATGTTTTTTATGAAATTCAGAGGCTTGTAGCACACTACCAATCAATAATTGATCAATTTCTGCATTACCTTGTGCTAGAGGACCTGGCAGACCCGTATGGGATCGGATGTGTGTTATGTACATAGGGCAAAGCCTGTTCCTGATCAAATCTTGAACCTGGAGGAACAATGAGGTTAGTTCAGTATCATCAGGTATAAATTCAGCAGTTTCAATATGTAAAATAACTCTTTCTGCGTATTGTGAATCTGTAACTATATTAATAGGTTCTTTAAAATCCCTTAGCACCATAAGAATGGCATATAATTCTGCCTTCTGGACAGAAGTATACGGACTTTGTTCCACCTTATCCAAGTCTTCTGATTTGTAACCTGCCTTCCCTGATTTATTGGCATCAGTATAGAATGTACGGGCTCCAGTTATTGGAGCATCACGGACGATTCGAGGAAGAATCCAAGAAGTTCTCTTTATGAAGTTAAGCCGCTTGCTTTTTGGATAGTTGTTATTAATGTCTCCCAAAAAATTAGCACAAGCTCTTTGCCATGGTTCATTATCTTCCCATAATTTCTTTAGTTCATCAGCAGTGAAAGGCACTATAATTTCTGCTGGGTCTATGCCTGCTAGTTGACGAAGTCTCAGCTTGCCTTTTATAATTAACTCAGAGACTTTTTCCACATAAGTTTTCAGTTTCTTACTTGGTTTATGTGGTAAAAAGATCCATTCCAAAATAATATCATCTCTCTGCATTAAAATTCCTGTAGGAGAAATTTTTGATGGTAGTATGACGAGAATACAATCGAGCTCTGGATTCACCCTGTCCACATGTGCCTGTTGTAATTTTTCCTCAATCATTGTCAGTTCCTTTTCTGCTTCAGCTGTTAATTCTCTGGGACTGTTTAAATCTTTATCACCATCCAAGGTTTTGTTCAAATGAATTATTAAATCAGGTGTTATTCCAATAGCTGGTCGTAGACTGGAAATGTCTCCTAACAGTCTTTGAAAGTCATTAAGAGTCCGTAGGCGATCTCTCCTAATTTGTGCTTTTTGTGTCTTAATTTTTTGCAAACCTATTTTATAACCTAAATAATCAACAGAATCTCCCTTCTGAATCTTTTCAGGAGCTAATTGCAATCCCCATTTAGGTAAAAGTATCTTTATTTCTTCAAACAGTCTGTTCAAGGTATCCATGTTTGAATCGGATAACAAGATGTCGTCCATGTAATGGTATACTATAGATTTGGGAAATTTCTTGCGTATTATTTGCAATGGTTGGTTCACAAAATATTGGCACAGGGAGGGGCTATTTAACATACCCTGGGGGAGAACGGTCCAGTGGTACCTCCTCGAAGGTTGAGAATTGTTGTAAGTAGGCACTGTGAATGCAAATTTTTCTCTATCTTCTTTTTGCAAAGGTATAGTGAAAAAACAATCCTTTAAATCAATAACTATGAGAGGCCATCCTTTTGGTAATAAAGAGGGCAAAGGAATTCCAGATTGCAGAGGGCCCATAGGTTGAATAACCTTGTTGATGGCCCTGAGATCTGTCACCATTCTCCATTTACCTGATTTTTTCTTAACCACAAATACAGGAGAATTCCAAGGGCTGGTAGACTCTTCTATATGTCCAGCATCTAATTGTTCTTGTACCAGCTGTTCTAAAGCCTGTAACTTTTCCTCAGCTAAAGGCCATTGCTTTGTCCATATTGGTTTCTCAGTCAACCATTTTAGAGGCAAGGCTGTTGGTATCTCTGAAGGGACATCAATTGCTTGTTCTTTTACAGCCCGAATGGCCGGTTTTCTCAGTTTGTAATATCTTTTAATATTATTCTCAGAAATATAGGCTCTAGATTTAGCAGGAATGTTAATTTCAGTATTCCATTGTTGTAATAGGTCACGACCCCATAAATTCATTGCAATATTGGCTACATATGGCTTTAATTTTCCTATTTGTCCCTCTGGCCCTATAC